TATTGAAACATTGTGAGTGTAACATGATGCAGGTCAGTGAAAGCAAACACCTGTGACAAATCCAGCCTTTTATTTTATGGCTAAATCACATTGACAATAGAGACGCAGATGCTTTGTCCCAGTTTAACATGCGAGCTGCGCATGAAACCCTCACTGCTTACGTAGACATGCTGAATACCTGAAACAGCTCTGCTATGTTCAGCATCTCAGGAATGATTGCTCCTCTTTGTTGATGGAGCCAGCTCTTGGAAGTGAGGTGGATTTTCATGTTCTGAGTTATTGGCAGAACAAAATGTGAGAGTGTAACCTAAATGAGGCTCTGTGTCTTTAATTGCCCAGCTGACATTGTGGATATCGCAGCAGTAACCAAATTAAAGCTCTTTGACTGATGAGGCAATATTTAGATCCCAAACATTTAGTAATAGTCTCAATAATCTTCAAATCCATCAGTGTCTGTGATTTTAATTGTGTTTGCTTCTAGTGTTTTAAAATAATCCCCATGACACCACTCACAGGTTATTGCCTTAGTGTGGATGCGAGTGATTTTTCCTCCTCATATTGTTTCATTTGAAGGGTTTTTGTGGTCCTAAAGACTTAACTGTCTTTAATTTCACAAGAAAAGCAAAACTAAAACTCTTCACCAACTGTCTTTGCAGAAAACACCGTGAAGAGGTAATGAAATCCCAAACAAGAGGAAATCATTCTCAGATCTATGTGAAGGGCCCAATAAAAACCGACATCTCAGATAGGCCCCTCCACTTAGACCTCAAAGTGAAGAACACATTCACAGCAAGCCTCTAATGAACTCATCTCCTGAAGGAAGACATCAAAAAAAGTTGAAAAGAATGAAATTGGATTGGATTAGTGTCCTCTGACACGTTTGTCCAAATACAAGAAACACACATTCGACAAGAGACAAAAATACAAGATAAAACTAAACAAACTGTAAAAAAATGAACCACACAGTTGGTGTTTGCATAAAAAGTGTAATGTATTTTATTTACATCCATGGCCTGCACTGTATTGTGACAGACTCACTGTCTATGCTACATTACAGATGTAATCATTAGAGGTGTTACTCATCACGGAAATAAAACACTAAAATGTTAAATGCATTCACACAAAAATAGTTCAAAATAGTTCAAATTCAATGCAAAGTTTGATTGAATGTCCCACACACATAAATGAACCTCCATCATGTTATGAACGTGTTTATCTGTAGAAAGGGATTCTGTTGTGTTTTTGTCTTTTTAGCTGATCGACCAATCTGTAGGAGGAGGCGGGGCTGCGCGTGCAGACTGCTGCAGACTTTGAATGGCTGCAAGCAGCGTGAGTGAGCCACCAGGCCTCCGGGTCAGCATGTCTCAGAGGGCTCGAGGGCTCGAGGGCATTGTGATTGTCACGTCTTGGTAGGCGCACACTGTCAGAACAGTGCGCTGTAACCCAACCTCAGGTAAGACGCATTTAAGCCCGCGGCAAACTATTTGACGTCACCAGGAAGTCGAGTTCATATTGCTTATACAATATGTAGATGATTCTGATCTGTACACAAATCATCCATATGCGTGCTTCAGTGTTTGTATTAACAGGGTCAATGTTGGCTGTGGCAGGTTTAGTGTTTCCTCTTATGAAGAAATATTATTTTTATAAAGTTCAATTCAAAATAGTCAGGGATTAAGGTTACATGATATGTTTCATATTTATATTGTGTGATACCACAGACTACGTGTTTATAATGCTGAAACTGAGTAGCATTGAAATATTCAGAGACACATTTCAGTGTCAGGTGAGTGAAAGCCTCGCTGGAGACCTTGTGTATCACTCTGAGGTGAAGGTGGAGATGAGGACAGAGAGTGTGTGCTTTAGTCTAATGAGGAGTCTGGTGAACTGGAATGATGGGAAGTGAAATGAAACCAAAATGGGACATAATTATATATCACAGTGGTACAGCCAACCGGGAAGGAGGCCAATCCAACACACACTCCCACACCATGCGCGCAGAGCATCCTCCACCCACAAACACAAAGAACAGTCAGTCCTCCGTGATGAATACCAGAGTCTGTTCCATCCAAGTTTCACACTGTCTCTGCATGGATATTGTTTCTGGACGTGCATATCTCTGAACATGGTCTTCATCAGGATTCAGGAGACGCAGGCTTGTGGTTAAGTAAGGATAATGTTTGTTTTATTGTATTCACAGTGTCTTTATAATGATATCCAGATCTGTATTGAGGATGCTGTCGAAGAAACACTGTTCATAGCTACGGTTGTTTATGTAACTGAATGTGGATTTAATATCATGAAAAACAAATCTTTTTATGGTCATATTGAGAATTGACATGATAGTTATATTATGTGTTGCATCGCAGTCTTCATATTTTCATTGATTGTTCTCATGATGTGGTAATCAAATGAGACTGTATTAATGATCATACAAACACAGTTAATATAATATACACTATGTAGATCATGTTCATTGTCATCTCGGTACAAAATAATGTTCTAAAAGTATGTGCTTTTTTAAAAACACAGATTCCAGCAAAAAGCTTTATAGAGGGTTCCTCAAGTTAGACAAACATGACTTGTTATGGATCAGTTTAGAGGGTCATGCCCTTTTTGTTATGAAGGGATTAACTGAATTATAATCATTCAGTGTGCTGTACAAGTTGAGTTAAACTAAACCCTATTTCTGTCCCAGATTGGTAAATCTAATCATCAATTTCTATGCTCAGTTTCAACTACGACTAACGCAGTTTATTAGTACTGGTCTTTTAGATTTTAACGTCGACGAACCATCTTTGATGGTTGTAAAAAAAACACATAAAATTGCAAGAAGATGTGACTATGACTGCGTATGTCTAATGCTTCCACGCTCTCCTCCCGAGCACAGACGAGGCAGCAGGTGTGGGAGAGATCCGACGAGTTGTGTGTGGGCCGGTGAGCGTGACACAGAGTTGGAGATGAGGACTATTATTCCTGTGTACGGAGGCGGTGATGGAGGGGAGTCCCGCGGCCTCCGCAGCCGGGTGGGCAGGATGAAGAAGCTGCTGTGGCTCAAGCCGAGTCACTGCGTGGACCTCCACATGGAAACGGAGCCCGGCGTGTGGCTGACCAGCTTCCAGTTGTTGGACACCGATGGACAGTACGAGGTGAGTCAGAACCACACCACAGGTTTCTGTGATTGTCAACAAGGGATTTGTTCCTTAGCGGCAGTTTACTGTGACAGCGGCTCTCGGTGTCCTCAAACCTCACTTCATTTAAAACTGTTACCTGACATCTGCATGGAAATAACAAGTCAAAACACGTTCCTCCCCTGTGAACTTCAGTTTTATTGTCCACGCTCTTGGTCGAACACACACACAACAAACGTAGGAGGCTCTCTCAAACGTAGGAGGCTTCATCACAGAAACTGGAATGTTACTGAGTAATGGTATTGCACCTAAAGAAAGGAGGTGATCATATTTCATCTCGTTTCAGCTCTGAAGCTTATATTTAGCTTCTTTTTCTTAATAATCAAACCTTGAACCTTTTAGCTGTGGTGTTGTTCTAAGTGATTGATATTTATTGACTCCTTAGATTACATGAACTGTTTATCATTAACTGTGTTTAGTGTCCTCTGGTGTGACGGTCCGTACTCTGTTGATTATTGGGTGGAGTTGGTCTGCTGCTGACTCATGCACACATCTGTGACGTGACAGCTTTCATACATTCAGTCATTGTTTACGTCGGGTTTCTCCCTGAGAGCTCTTGCTGTTCTTCTCCTTCAGATCTAGATTGTTTCACTCAGGACATCGTCCACGCCAGCAGACATTTACTGACACTGAGAATGCAGAATACATCACACACTCTCCAGGAGGTATACTGTGTCTCTGTGGGTGTGCTGAGAGTTTTCAGCTAAAGTTAGCCTTTTTATCACAGACACAACGTCAACCGGCATGTTTTCGGCATCATCTTGCATGCATGCTTCCAATTGTTGCTTGCCTGTCACCTCATCACCCATTCATGTGTCTAATGAGAACTAATTGAGATACCTCCTGGCACTTTCTCTGCTCTTTTGTTCAGCCTTTGTAGAGAGGCTGGGTGGTACGGGCGGACATGGAAGAATGGTGGTAGATTTTGAGTTCAGAGAGACTCATTAGAGAAACAAAAAGCTCATTATGTTGGAGCTGAAAGAGCAGCGGACAGCCGGATTTAAAGACGTCCCATCTGCTCAGCTTATCGCTGGTACCACGATGTGTTGCTGCGTGTCATTTTGTCAGTGGATGTAATGAAATGCCACGTTAATTTGTACAATTTCCTAATTTTGTACGTCCTGGATGTCATAATGTTGAAGCTAGTGTTTAGATGCAGAACAGACCTGTCTGATGTGGTATGTCGTCACCACGCCCCTGATAGCACGGGCAGGAACATAAGCTCCGGGCTGCCGACAAAAACTGTCCCGACTGGATTCTTTACGGGTAGCGACACCAGCATGTTGATGCTGGCCTGAAAACATTTCCTGCTGCATTTTGCATCTTCCTGTAAATTGATCACTGGAGTTTTTATGATGAGCCTCTTGATCCAGACAGTTCGTCTTTTTACACCAGATATCACAGTGTTGTCTTTGCCACATGTTTCTGTCAGGAAAACCTTTAAGACATTACATTTAAAATGCTAAAATGAGTCTTCAGTTGGACATAAAGCTGGAATAAAGCCACACTACTATTCCACATGGATGTCAAAGCACCACAAGAAGGATGTAAGACCTCATAAGGCTTTATATGTTTCATACCCGAGGTGTTGTAGTCAGGCGTAACAGCTCATAATCTCTTTCCCCGTTTTGCCTGAAAGACTTGAAGGTCTTACAAGCATCATGGTGGTTTTTGTAAGTGCGGTTGGGACAGTAAAAGTGAGTGTTTATTTGTTTAACTATATTGACTTATTTCAATATTTTACATACATTTCTTTATATATGTTTTGCCACATTTATTTATTTCAGGATTTATTGTAAAGGCTCCTTTATTTATCAAATATTACATACAGTGGCATTCCATATTATTCCCCTTATCCTCATTGGTCAGTAGAGTTAGCCCGTCCACGTCTGTCTCGTTAGCCCCGCCCCCTGGCAGAGGGCTCCCTCCTCGTCCTCCTCACGCGCAGACTGGTCCTCGCGCCGTCACTCTGTCGATGTGACGCTCCGACGTCTGGACACAACTCAGCTCCACCGGATCATGCATTGTTTCATTAATTCTCAAAAATGAAGGCTATAACTCGGACGGAAGTGAGCAGCCGGAGGACGGCGCTAACTCCTTAATTCCCTCCTGTGCTGCGGATTTCTCACCTGCAGCAAAACAAAAGGAGTTTAATTGAAGACGCACGAGGAGACTTTGTGGTTTCCTCTCTCGGGGAGCAACACAAACATGGGAAAATGGCACTTATCGATGGTACGTCAAATGAAATGCATTCATCAACGAGTTGGAATAGATTGACGCACGAGGTTGTCGGTACGATGCCACTTTGTTTAACTTACTTGTTTTCTCCACATGTGTTGCGGATAGAGTGCTTGGGTTCATGTAGATCCACCTGTAACGTTGTCTCATTGTGTCTGCAGCTGGCGCTCTGCTTTTGTCTGACCTTCTGTCATGTGATAGAAGTTGTTCTTAAGCATCTGCTTACAAACCCTCATATCTCAGTCCGGCCTCTTGTGTATAAATCCTGTAATTGAATAAACGGATAACTTGGATCAATTAGATCAAATAGTTGACTGTCCAGTGAGAGACGTCATGATGTATCATAGATGGATTTTTCTAGCTGTCACGTGTTAAGTTAACATGTGGAGTGACAATAAAAATCACTCTTAGTGCTGGACCGTTTATTATCACTCCAAATATGATAAAGTTATCACCTGGAGGCATTTGTTTTCTTAGTGTAAAAGTAAAATGCATCTGTCACAACATGTTTAGTAACACATTTTTACTTTTGTAAAATACAGCGTAAAACAATATATAACGCTCTACAGCTAACGCTGCGACAATTATTGTGAAATGGTTGTTTTCATATGAGTCACACTTATTACACAAACCCGGACAGTTTCTATTGTTTCTCTACAGTAGTAGCATGAAGTGTGTGTGTGTGGGGAGACGTACGACTGTTGCTGTTCTAAACAGGTGCAAAGTAAGAATGAGACGGAGGGAAAGTGATGTCATGGGTCGATACGTTGTGTTTGTGGACACAAACGGATCCAGCAGTGATCGGGCCGGTCACCAGGTGTCTGTCTGCGTCAGAGCTCAAGGCTGCGTCGCACGCAGGATCTCAAGAATGAAGTTAATTGAGGTTGAGTTTGACAAAATGACTCAGTCTGGAGGTGTATTTAATTAGTCGTGGGTTTTAGATATGTTGTATTTGACACCTGGACAGGAGTTCAAGCACATTAAAGTCTGTGTTGTCTGCCATGTCATGAGGAAAGGAACAGAAGGCTGTATCGCGTATTTGAGTTGTTATTCGCCAGATCTTGATGACCTTGCTTCCTGTCCTGCAGGATCCGGTGCAGGAGTGGGGGGAGGAGGAGGAGGACGGGGCTGTGTTTGGCGTCACGCTGCGCAGGGAGCCCGTCCTGCCGAGCTCGGACACGCCGGAGCTCCCGACGGCCTTCAGCTTCGTCCAGTACCACACGGTGAAGGTGCGCAGGCTGAAGGCCGGCACCCTGGAGCGCCTGGTCACCCACCTGCTGGACCCCGAGCACCAGGAGCCCGACTTCATCCGGGTCTTCCTCTGCACCTACAGGGCCTTCACCTCCACCAGCACCCTCATCGCGCTGCTGTTTCAAAGGTGAGAAACCGTCCACACCAAAGCTCTGAGGCGTATGTTTAAAAAAACACCACATAAGGGTTCAATCCGCTGGTCTGCCAGCCCACATTAGAGCTCTTTGTTGCTGTTTGACTCAGAAAGAGATCTTCACGGTTTAGCGCTTAAGATGTATCCCGATAAATAGAGTTGGGTGAGAAGAAGAAGGGTGTTTCACCACCATGTGCTACTTACTGTATGTAAGTGGAGCGTAACCAGGTTTTACAAGATGCCAGATGCACAAATCATTTCTCAGAGAAGGCAGCTATTGAACACCTTCTTCATGTCGCCTCAGCTATTCAAGAGGCAAAGCTCTGGTGACACGTGTGACGGGTGTTATCGCCAGGAACCAAACAAAGCAGTTCGGAGCTTTGTTCCGTTCGTGACTCACCCTCCACACCCAGCCGAGGTGCTAACCTGACACACTGAGACTTAATTTGACTGACGGTGAGGAATGCATTTAATACATTTCAGGGCTAGACACAGAAAGCACTCGTAGGAGATTTCCATAAGAAATGTTTAATATTGACGTATTATTTATTCAGATAAAACCGGCTCAGGTCCAGTTCACAGAGCTGCTCTTTGGTCTCTCTCAGGTCCTTTCAGCTCACCTTTGCTGAATGTACTGAACATGACTGTGTGAAGCTGTGGCCATTAGTGCTGCTCAGCTGATGTATTATTCGTCAAACAGTCGCCCTCATATCTGTGCTGCTGGTGGCAACAGATTTCCTGTGAGCTTCATGTGAGGTCAGGACAACCTGTCAACACTTTTCCCTCTTTTGCCTCAAAGGATTTTGTAGAGGATGTAACAACCTGCTAATAATAATTAGCAGGTTGTAATAATAGCAATAGCTGCTCTGTAAATTACAATTATTTTGATCATTTGTGTCACGCTTTGATGCAGGAAAGAGAATTACCAGGTTATACAACTTCAACACAGCGATATGCTTCAGTTCTACTGCACATGTATTTTTATTATGTCTTAATTTATCCCTAAGGGAAACGCGTGTCTATTTGTAGTTCACGCTAAAATACTTCAGCCATGATTTTCCGCTCGCCAACGGTTTTTGGAGCAAATGTCAAAAGCTCCAGATCAGAGGCAAATCTGCGTCTGCTCAGCGCTCGCACGTTGGCAGTCGAGCGTTACGTGTGAACTGTTCAGAGACGGTGACCTGTCGGGGCGTCGCACGGGGAGCGACAGCCAATGAGAGAGTGAGACAAGGGTTGAGGGGAGACCTGGCACAGGGGTCACCTGTAACAATAGGAGCTTCACTGTGTGTGTTGGATTAGCAACACGTACCAAACGGTGTTTGATGTTTGCATGAGTATACGTGACACAGAGGCTGTGTTCGAAATCAGAATGCACTGCATACTACCTACGAAATAAACGATATTACCAGCAGACTGTTCACGCTCAAGTGCCGGCCGGGCCGGTCTTGAGGCCGGCGGCGCCGTCATATCTCTGAAAACGTTGCAAGAAATAACAGGTATTATTACCTACTGGAAACTCTCCCGCTTTAAAACATATTGGAACTTAATACAATTTTATTGTTAACTGCAGCGGCTCAGAGGCTTTGGAGACCTCGTCTACCTCCTGGTGAAAGATCTTTGTCAGTCATGTAGTGTGAAAACCACAACGACTTTAAGACTCCCAACAACAAGACAGCCAGTCGTGTAGTGTGAACAGCGATCTGATGACTTTAAACGTCCTGCAGTGTGGCCTTGATCTAAGGCCACACCGTCTCTGCAGGGATGCAGAGTGTTGCAGGACATTTCCACAGGACGAACCACCTGTTGGAGAGGACCGACCCTGGGACAGTTACAGGATGTCTTCTATCACCACTAGGTCAACGTGTTGTCCCTTCAAGTAATGATTAATACTGACTGTAGCTCTCAGCTGATTGTGTTTACCTTAATTCCACAGAGATGACTCGGTCACCAACCTGGATCACACCGTCTGCCGACGCAGGTGAGCGCGGTCACTCCTCGATGAACCTGAACATGAAGAGGACTGACGCACTGTAATTAACTCTATTTAATGTCCCTGATCATTCCATCAGTACCTTACCCCCGGTGATCCGGCTGTGGCTAGAGGAATATGGTGAAGACTTCCATGAGCACCCTCAGTATCAGGCCCTCCGGCTGTTGTGCGTCCACTTGCGGCATCGCCTCTGTTTCAGACGCTTGGCTCAGACTGCAGAGAGCCTCCTCAAGAGGCTCCAGGAACCAGGTACAGGGGAACAGCGGACGTGATTATGATGGATTGTGGATAATATAAAATGCAGTTTCGTTGTCATTTATGAATTGGTTTGTTTGACAGATTGCAGCCAGTCTTCGTCACAGCACAACGGTGAATCACTGCAGCAGGAGCACAGAGATCAGGAGGACGGCAGAGAGACGGCCACTAAGGAGGAACACAAATGCAACTTTATGGACTTCGCTGTGAGAGAAGTGGCGGAGCAGCTGACCCGGTTGGACGCTGTAGGTTTCATGAACGAACGTCTCCAAGCTCATTTTTGTGCCCGTGTGGGTCACTCATTCATATTGTGTCTCCATCTGTCCCTCAGGAGCTGTTCGTCAGAGTGGAGCCCTTCCACTGTTTGGGCTGCGTCTGGTCACAACGCGACAAGAAGGAAAACAGAAACCTGGCGCCCACCGTCCGCGCCACCATCTCCCAGTTCAACGACGTCACCAACCGTGTCATCACCTCACTCCTCTGCCCGTCCTCTCCCAGCCCTTCCACTTCCTCTCCCATCTCATCACCCAGCTCCTCCTCTACCTTCCTGTACTCCTCCACTGGTCCCAGCTCACCTCGCTGCTCTCACACCAGCCCCGGACACAGGGCGCGCATCATCGAGGGCTGGATCGCTATTGCTCAGGTCAGGGTCAAAACAAGTTTAGCATTTAGTTGATCATCGAATGCATAAATGAACATAACTTTTGTCAAAACGACACAACGTAACTGTATTTTCTCTCTGCAGGAGTGCAGACAGCTGAAGAATTTCTCCTCTTTGAGGGCCATCCTTTCAGCCCTGCAGTCCAACTCTTTGTATCGCCTCAAGAAGACCTGGGCTGCCGTAAGCAGGTCAGCAAACTAGTGCAAGTGCTCTGAAATACAACATTGAATACAAAAAGAAAATCAGTTCCATAGTGGCTTTCTCTGAATCATTTATCTTTCTTTGAGCATGCAGCCTTGTTCAAGGGGAATAGTGACGCTAAAAGTCTTAACAGATGTTATTTGTTTGGTTTCAGGGAAAGCATGAACACCTTTGACCACTTGAGTGAGACTTTCCCCGGTGAGAACTGTGTGCTAACCAGCAGAGAGATCCTGTTGGAGGTAACTGCACGTGTGTTTGATGTAAACACGTACGTGAGGTGATGGGGACTGGTGGTTCTGACCAGCTATCTTCAGAGGCGTGGGCGGAGGGGTGTTTTCCTGATTGAATTGATGCACTAAAGGAGTCGCTGAACACACTATTGAATGCAAAAAGAAAATAACAGGTTGCTTGTGCATTTTCTACCATACGGACTGTTTGTCCCTGACCCGTTCTGTGTCCTTTGTTCGCTGTAAAAGCTAATTGATAAGAATGTGTATTTAGCGCTGTTATCTGCAGCCAAGTTTCTATAGAGTAATGAAAAGGTCATTGTTGGCAGCCAACACAATAAAACTACAAATAAAAGTGGTTTGTTTGGCAATGACTAGAAGTTACTGCAGAGACACCCAGCAACAGCCTGTTAGCAGGCGCTCCACCCTGAAGAGAAGCATTGTATAAAGTATGTGCTTTGTTGTCGTCTCATGCTAATTACATTTATTGTGTTTCATCGAAGTTGACGTGGCATGTTGTCTGTTTCCTGCAGGATGGGACTCATCCAGATGGCAGTGCCCCCCCGGGCTCAGTCACCAGACCTGTAAGGAAACCGTCATCATTTTGTTTGGAATAAATAACCTCGTGTGGTTTTTCGATTTCGTGTCTGATCACCAAAGTGAAATGAATGTCTCGGCTATAACGCTTAAAAATGAAAGGCAGAGGTCTCTGTTTTTCTGGATCATCAATTCTACTTCCCTAAAAGTCACATGTTTTCAAGCTGATTTAATTTTCTAAAATAGTCACCAGATGTCCAGTTCCCTCTCCTTCAGTCTGTTAATACAGATATAACTGGCTGTTAGTTTTCCCCGTACGCAGGTTAAGGGTGTCAAAGCTGACGTGTGTGCAGTGTTTCTCACAGTTTGGCGGTGTACGTAGTCTGGGTGGGGCTGTTTGCAAAATGTTTTATACCCCCCTATTCACTCTGTGTTTGAATAGCGACGGTCTCATGTCTCCAGTTCTCTGTCTCCATTTCTACTTCAGTGACCGTAGACTCTTTTACTTTTATCGACGTGACGCATCGTGAGCTCAATTTTATGCTCAAGTTTCTTACTCTTTCTTACTTCATGATAGTTTTCCATTAGAGCCAATTTAAAGAGTACCAATGAAACATTTTCACCTTTTTTTGCAAATATGTTAAATTAAATATTAGTAAGAAGTTGATTCTCACTTGTGCAGCCGTTGTGGTTTCCAAAATGTAAACCGCGTCTTGATTTTGTGACCTCAGAGCTTCAGCAGTGGTGTTGTGCCGTACTTGGGCACCTACCTGACTGTCCTCACCATGCTGGATACAGCTCTGACTGACACTGTAGAGGTAAGGACACATCTCACCTCCAAACCCTCCTGGAGTTTCTCTGATGCCATATTTGTAACGCTGTTCCTTTTTGCACAGGGCGGACTCATCAACTTTGAGAAGCGCAGACGGGTAGGTGTCGCCTCCTAGTGGTGTTTTGCATGAATGACTACAATCGTTATCCCTTGTACTGACTTGAACTCAATATTTGTATGTTCTGCCATGTTCTCTTTGTGTTCTATGGTTTAATCTGTGCGTTGTTTTATTTCGTTCTCTTGTAGGAGTTTGAGATTCTCTCTCAGATTCGGCAGCTTCAGGCTTCTTGCTCCCGCTACAGCCTCCCAGTGAATCCTCGTATCGCCGCCTGGCTGCAGGCTCACACACTGCTCACAGACCAGGAGAGGTGAGACCATAGAAATAGGGAAGGAATTAAACAGACATTCACACTAAGATCAACGTAACAGGATGGTCAGAGTGGCCAACAATTTGATGTGAACCATTGCCAGCACGTCGCAGACTCACTGGGGTTTAGCAGTAAGAACCTAATGAGCAGCACGAAGCACGGAGGACTTGTTCATTTTTCATCTCTCATTTCCTAAAATTGCCTTTCTCCGTCTACTGAAGCTATGAGCTGTCTCGTGATCTGGAGCCTCCAGTCGACCCCTGTCCCAGCTCTCCCAACTCGTGGAGCAGTCGTCTGCTGACGAAGAAACTTGCCTCGTAAGTCTGCAAATAGAGCAGTTTATGAGTCCTTTTAAATGGTTCCCACATCTTTATCTTGCAGAAGGTAATCCAGGGAAAAGGTACACATCTAAAGTGTGTGTGTGTGTGTGTGTGTGTGTGTGTGCGTGTGCGTGCGCAGGTTGCGAACAGGCAGCTACAACTCCCTGAGGAAGACCCACGCTGACCAGATCAGTGTGTCATCTTCTAGCTCCAGCAGTTCAGAGTTGGAGGACCTCTCTGTCACCCAGCCCTCCCCCTCCCCCCTCAGACTCAAACTCAAGGTGCCTCTATCATTGCAGTGTGTGGAGAACGTCAGGGTCAGAGTTCACAAACTTAAAACAACCAACATTTCACAAGGCGTTTCTACTTAGTTGGTTTAAAAAAACCTGGGAAATCGTTTTAAAACTGGAACATAATACAGTGGAGTCCGCTGAGTAGTGCACATACACTGATCACGACGGTCATTTTACTCACCCGCTCACATATACCCCTTCAGCTGGCCTACAGTAGGCTATATTTTATATACAGTACTGTAAGAAAAGTGATCAATTTGACCCCGACAGACATGATTTCCACTGTATTCATATTGTCTCCTCTCTCTCTCCCTTTCCCTCCCTCAGGCTCTCTCAGGCTCTCCCCATGATGTTGCAGAGGATTTCTTCTCCAGCTCCTCGTGCTCCTCCTCTCCCAGTCTCTCCAGCTCCTCCCATCCAGACCTCAGCTCTTCCTCTCTGGTGCTGAGCCCAGAGTCATCTTCGTCCAGCTGCTGCTCTCAGGCCGTGCTGCCCGTCTACAACAAACAGGTCGCTGACTCGTGTATCATTCGGGTGAGCGTGGAGTCCGTCAGCAACGGAAACGTCTACAAGAGCATTCTGGTGAGAGCGACGTTGTGTTTCTGAGGTCAGACGGCTGGTTTCTGGTTGACTCGAGTCTAAACGCTTTCTGAGATGTGAAAGTAGAAGAATCAAACTAAATGGGAAGACAGAAGAAGAGGAAGGAGTTTATGTCAGCCTCATTATGTGGAAAGAAAACCGACGCCTTTCATTTCAGAGTATTTAAAAATAACACCAAAGATTTGTGCATGATCAGAAAAAAGCCTTTTGTCTTCTGTGGCATTTGCAAATATAGCTGCTCTGCTGTTCTCAGCCTTATATTTATGAATGAACCCTTAAACACAGCATTATCAATCTTCTATCTATCTAAATAAAACCACTGGCTTTAAAGTGTCGCTGGTTGTCACATCTGTCGATAGTCTCAATGACATCATTGGTTGTATTTTGACGTCTGGCCGTGTGTTTCATCTCCAGCTGACCAGTCAGGACCACACGCGTCAGGTGATCGAGAGGGCTCTTGAGAAGCACAGCATGGAGGACGTCAGCTGCCATAATTTCAACCTCTGCCAGGTGCTCAACAATGGAAAAGGTGAATATATTTCCTCCCCAGGCTTCTCCTCCAGCAGTCTAATGTTTGCATGTAAAACGTGCTCGTCACAGAACTCTGAGGCCTACTTTTCTCTTTCTTTGCACACCGGGTTTCTCTTTCTGTCAGTAACTTGTGATTAACTACAAGACCACCAATGACGTGTAGAACTTAAAGCTGATAGTGAACTGAACTACAAAGCTGCCAGCCGAGTAGCATCAGACCGAACACGTACAGCTTAAGAGACACGAGTCATTCTTCTGTTTCCTTTTTGGAAAAATCAACCTTTTACATTGTTTTGTCAACTGGCTGAATGTGATATTTAATGAAGTAGTCGAAAACGTTTTGGCCTCTAAAACACATTAACGGTCTATTGTTCACCGACACTGCCTTCAATAAACTATAATGAAAATCAGCTGCAAGTTGTAAACGGGTTCAGCTCAATCTTATTGTATTTCTGTTGCTTTCAACAATGCTTTCATTCTTTCTAAATAGATTTAAAATGCCGGCATTTCTAAAAACAACCCTTCGTATCATTCTGAGAAACATCTGTAATCACTAAGTGAAATAGAAGCCGATGATTGCAGGCTGATGGAAAACAAATTGCACCACTTCATTCCTCTTTCTGCCTCAGATCTTCAGATCCCCGACAAAGCCAACGTATTTTATGCCATGTGCACCTCCGCCAACTATGACTTTGTGCTGCGTCGGCGCTGGAGGAGCCACGGGAGATGTCTGGGCTCCTCCTCCAGTCCTGGAGGTCAATGCAGCCGTTACGCCAAGTGACGAGCATCTGTCCCGGCTGAATGTTAGGAGTTCACCTAGAGGACGAAGGGGCTGCTCATCTGCAAACAAGCCCCC